AAAAAAAAAAAAAAAAAAGTAAAAAAAAAATTAAATAAAAGGTTGGTATCTACAAGTTAGTAACTTTCTTGGTTCTCAGATGTGCTCAGGATAAAGGTTCACCAGAAAATATTTGAAACCAAAGACAGGTACAACCACAAAAAATTCTTCTCTACTGATGTTTAGCTTGTATGAGCAGATCTGGTGCTGCTTTGCCCCAAAATTATGGAGCAGAAAGGGAGCATAACGGCAGCCACACCCCTCTAGGACACAGACAGACACACTGACCTTGCCTGTCTCCAAAACCTGCTCACAAGTATCAGCTCCACAGCCACAGTCACCCAAAAGCACTCAGCTTCTCAGGGCTGTGCAGCAGCCACAAGAATACGGAAATCTTTCAATACACAAACCCTAAAGCTGTTTAATGCCGCTCCTGTGTCACTGCCCGAGAGCTGAGAGCAGATCCCGCACTGTTTGCGAAGCACGAAGCCTCTCTGGCTGGATGTGCTTTACCAGCAGGATCTCTGCCAAGGAGAGGATCTAGGAGCTTTGGTGTTGAGAATTATTAAGCCAAGAGGAGATACAATAGGTTTTCACAGGATACAAGAGTCCCCATATCCAGCTGTGAGGTATCCTGGCTGTTTAGCAGCACCCACCAACATGTCCCAGGTGTGTTCAGCATTTTAGGAGCTCCAAGAAGCTCTCTAGGTATTTTTCCTGCCAATAAGCACTAGCAATATGCTCCTCATTAAAGATGTTACAGCACAAACACACACCTTTCTGCTTCACTTCTCCATCCTGCTAAACCATCCTGCTTGAGGCACGTCTCTTGCCATACCCAGTTCAACATCCCAGCAACTAAAACACAACAGACCTCTCTAATAAAAGATATATTCCGTTTCTCATTGAGTTTTATGGGTCTTATTCATGTGGTTAAAGAAAACACAAAAGAATAAACTCTGTCACATGAAAAAAAGGCACGTAATGATGTTACAGACTACATTATTGAAATTCCCTCACTCACTCATCAAAAGGCACACAATAACTTATTGCTGAGCAGTAGTTCAGGAACAGGGAATGTGAACAGGACAGGGGGCTGCAGCCCTTCTCTCAGCCGCTGCCTTGCTGCAGCCTCTGTGTCTCCAGCTGTATCTGTGAACAGACACCAGAGGTGCTGCCTTGGCTGCTGCTTTTAAAATGCAGATGCACTTTCAGATGCAAACCCCTTCTTTTTTCAGTCTGTTTCCCCACTTGAGTTCTTGTAAATGTGACTTTGGCCTCAAATTTTTTTTACACAGACTTCCAGCCTGGGCTTTGAGGGGCACATGTATATCCCAGCTGATTATCTCAGATGCTGTGCATACACATACAATAGATGTGCATCTTACTGACAACTGTAACCTGAGCACCTGGACAGAGCACCAAAACCTCGCTGGGGATTTGCCAGAGCCATTCACATTGATCCACCTGAAGGACACCCACAACCCCTGCCCTGAGGCAAGTCTGCATTTAAATCAACTCTTTGTCAACCTCCAACACCCCAGCTGAGTGAAAAGGTGGCTTTCAGGAAACTATTCAGACAATGCCTAAACCTCTTTCCAAGAAGTCAGCAGCTATTCTCATTCCTGCCCAGCTTCCTCTCTCATTTCCCCAGCATTAGCAGTCAGGTGTTGGACTCACCATCACCCACCATAAAGTCCCCACCAGTGGGTCACAGAGGCAGGAAGCATCATGTCCTGAGGGAGAGCCTTGTGACAGGATGCACTGCAGCAGGTCACTGTCTTGCATAATTTTCTTCTACTCTCACTAAATCCCAGCAACCTGCCACAGATGCCTTAACATTTTTTCTTTGCATGGAAAAAAAAAAATCTGCTAGGTACTTTCAAAGTGTGTAACACTGAAAAGCCAACAGCAAAGGAGCAAAAGTAGCAGTTATTGTCCTTTCCAGGTACAGTAAAGTCTCTTCCTTAAAACTCTGAAGCATGATAGAAAAATTATAACCCCAAAGCATACATTTCTTATGTCAGAATACAAGTTTCACCCCTATTAAAATTAGCATTTACTAAGTCAAGATCAAAGTACTGATAAATCCTGATGGCAAAAAATTTAGCCCTACAGTAACAGTGACTTTACTGCTAGCTAGGGAAAGCCCAAGTTTTTTTAAAAAATAAACTTCAGATGTAGGCCCCTACATCTGATCACAGCACTGCCCTCCTTCACAACAAGGAAATAACAAGAAAATTTGTGAGCCACTGTAGATTGGTAAGAGCCATGTTGTAATTCCACTGCAGATACACTGAAGAAATTAAACCAAGTAAGAGCCTTGGTTAGTGAGGAAGGAAAGGACAGGACCTTCTCTGTTGATGAGGAACAACAGTTTTGTATTGTCTGATGTTCCCCTCAAGGGAGTCAGTACTGTCTACTCTGTTATCAAATGTTTAGCATTAATCTGCTGTTCAGATGGGACAAGCTACAGCCTAAACTCAAGATGATATGCAGCATTTCAGATCACTCTGTGCTATTTTTGGACAAAACAAGACCGTACCTTGCAGATGTTTTTAATCAAACTTTTCCCACCAAAGACCCCAAATTATCACAGTGGAAGGGGTCACAAGCCAAGATTCAGCACCAGGATGACACAAAAACCACCTACAAAGTCACCTCTTGAATTTGTTTGTACTACACCAATCAAACACACCAGTCTGCAATTCACTAAGTGAAATACCAAATGTTGGTGCTCAGCTTCATGAAGAGGCTTTCTATTAGAAAGCCAAGTACCTTTACCCTCCCAAAATTCTCACCATACAGCAAATAATGAAACATATCAGGCAAAGAAAGCTTAAATTTCCAAGTGTTTTTATTTTGGTAAACATACTGTCAGTCCTCAACTGTCACCAATCTTTCTCCCTTGAAAATAACCACATCATTAAAAAGTGGTAAAAAATAACCCTTATCCAGTAACCACTCTTGGCTCTGTCACTGGAAGCTGTTGTTCAATCCATTCATCTTGCTGACAGAAGTGGCACAAAGCAGAAGCCCACAAACACAGACAATGCTGAGAGCCACTGGGTGCACCTTTCCTGCAGCACTGCACATCTTTGAATAAAAATCAGAGCAGCACCAACCCGCCCAGTGCAGCTGGAGATGCAGCTGCAGATACCCCACGTGCCCCAAGAGCATGACCAGGGACGCGACCACCTCGGCAGAGCCACAGCAAGACTGAACTGCACACAAAGGGGTAGAGACATGTTACAGGCAATTTCAAATTTGCAGTTTCATATACCCAAAGAGACATCTGTCCAGAGATCAAGCACTGATCTGCAGCTGTTGTAGCCCTGCACATTTCCAAATCAGACCTGCTTTGGAAAGCCATCGTGGAAATACTTGGCCAAGAAAGGCCTATTACAGTTTATTCCTGGCTTAATTATAAACAAACAATGTTACTCAATGAAGCCAGGGACAGAACATGTTTTGCAGGAAGGCTGGGACAGCAAAAGAGACTGTGTAAGGATGATGAAGAAAAGCAAGGAAGAAGCCCAAAAATAAAGGAGGAAGATTCTGCCAAGCCTGTTTCAGGCACGAACTGGACAGAATCAAAGCCAAGGATGAAAATAAAAGGAGGCAGCCACATCCAAAGGGTAATTAACCAATACAGTGTAAACAATGGCACTAATCTTTTCCTCTGAGTATACAGTGGATACCTGCCCAGGGCCCTGCAGCAGCAGCATGGGATAGGGATATCTCCTGAGCAGATCTCACCACACTGGTAGCTGCCAGGTAAGTCACACCCCACCCATGAGCCGGCCCAAACATCACTGCCAGGGGCAGAAACAGCACCAAGTCTGCCCCATAAACTTCCAGTGCTCTCTTCAAACCTTCTCATTCCCAGGCCAGCAACTCTCGTGCTTCTTCCTTCATTCCATCTATGCCCAGGATAAAGTTGTTCCAAATACCTAGTTTTTATTAGTTAGAACTGTAAGCTTGCTGAGGATCAATCCACAGTCTGTCCCCACCACTACCTTTTATTCCTTTAAGTTTGGTGATCATTAATTTTTTCCTAACAGAACGAGATGACAAGAAGTCCATCTAATTCCTACAAGCTACCAAAGCCAGATATGGCTGAGCTGATCAACAGCTTTTTTACCAGAGAAATACCCTACCAAAACAAACTTGAGGGAAAGATGACATTTGAAGGCACCTGGATAGCTTGGGCCAAACAGTCTAGTCTGCTGGAGAGGGACTTCTTACAAGGACACAGAGTGACAGGACAAGGGGCAATGGCCAGTCTGTGAGTAGGTTTAGATTAAATGTGAGGAAGAAATTCTTCCCTGTGAAGTGAGGCCCTGGCACAGGTTGTCCAGAGATGCTGTGGCTGCCCCTGGATTCCTAGAAGTGTTCAAGGTCACGTTGCATGGAGGTCTGAGCAATCTAATCTAACAGAAGGTGTCCATGCCCATAGACATTGTCTTTCAGGTGCCTTGGACCCCAAACCATTCTGTGATTCTATAAAGTTATCCACTAACACAGCCAACCCCACAGCTGATGTCACAAGTGCCCCGTGCTTAGGACAGGCCACTCCCAGCTCCTGCCATTTCGG